TTAATGACCCGAGAATCGCAGTCGATACTAAGATTATGCTTACCAGAGCTGTTATGATTTTCATAGCAGAAATTAACTTAAGAATATTTTTCTTGGCATACATTTCATAGAAAAAAAATCAGAATACTGACGTATCAAGAGACATTGAACTTCCAAGAATATTACACATAAAATGACTGGGTTTTCTATTAATTAATGAAAATTCACATCCCGCACTAAAGCATAATTAAGCAGATTGTTGTACCAGTTTCATAGCACATGACAGGCCAAAGCCAAAAACTTATATTTGAAAACTGATGAAAATCTGAGAATTTTTCTGTACATTTCAAAAGACGTACACATAATAGAGCCGCTAAAATTTTTTATGATTTTACTTTAATACATCCATCTGCAATGAGAAATATACATCACCTTTAAGAGCAACAAGATGAACTGGCTGCCCTCTCTGCTGGTCTCTGATTATCCACAAGAACCATGCCTGACGGGTTTGGTGCTGGCTGCAGACGAGGCAGTCTCTTTGCTGTTGATGCACAACAATATTAGAAAGTAAGAAAAAATATGAAAAGGATTCAGTATGGTCTTTGCGGCACAATCGATGTTAGTATTGTTAAATGTCATATGATAGAAACTTTATAGTACGATTCCCAGAACAGAATGCAACGGTGTGAAGAAGAAAAAACACACCAAAAATAAAATAAAAAATAAAATAAAATAGAATAAGAAGGGAACAACAATGGAGATATTTACAACAGTTCTGAGAAATTTTCAGTTGAATTTTTGCATTATGTAGCAGTAGCATGTACAAAAATACTCATTCTTACTAAGCCCCTATGTGCTTTAGCTAAAAATCAGACTTTTAGTAGATTTTCATAAAAATTGATCAATTATGTGTTAGAAAAGTTGATAGAAGTTGTAGATCCCATGAAATGTGTGGTTGAAAATGAGATTAACGAAAAATGAATTTGACGAAAAACGAGGCTAAACAGGGGCTAAGTAACTCCAGGGGCCTTATAATTTCTGTTACAGGAACCAGATGCTGGACAAGCTGTGATTTGAACTAAGAGTGTGTTTGATTGACATGGAAAATATTACATAGAAAAGAAAATGTTTTCCATCTTTTGTGGAAAATAAAAACCACCTCTAGCCAAGGAAAATATTTTCCTTAAAAACAAGGAAAATTAGGCATATTTTCAAAAGTTGGAAAATGTTTTCCATGGAAAAAAATAGCAATCAAACACTCCAAGTAGGAATTTGGGTGGAAAATTGATATTTTCCATGGAAAATAAATGTAATCAAACACATCCTAAAAGAAAGCAGGCGGTGGTTTTAGCTGTTTCTGTCAATATTATTGAATGAACACGGAATGTACTACACAACTGAAAATTGCATTTGTGTTTATAATTCTCCGTTGAAAGTAAAGACAGGAAGGAATTACAGTTCAAGAACCCTGACACTCTCTCACAAACTCTCCTATTCTGGATGAATCCCCAGAATAAAATCCAACCCCGTTTTATATAATCGAAGCTTAGCCTTAATCTGTAAGATTCCCCAATTTACCCCCTAACAAACTAATGTAAAGATGTAATAACAAAAACTCCTGCATGTGCACTCTGCTGCATGTGAGAATGGCTGCCTTGCTTATTCTGCCTCGCGTATGTAATCTTAGCTAACCTTTTTTTTCTTATCAATAACTTCCATGAAATGTTCTAAGCCCAAAACTCCAAGAAAAGCCAAGGCTAGGGTAATCGAATGGAGATATTGAAATTCACTCTCTCTAACCACTAGCTGTACATTAGTTTTACCAGACTATCATAAAGAGTTAGTATTCCTGTCACCCAATTTTATAATTACACGACTTCTAAATATTTAGTATTTGCAGATCAAATTGAATAATTAGGCATGGGTGCAAAAATTTCAAGTGTGTTTTCTATGTTTCAATATATTATTCTATATAGTATTAATTGGAATGTTTGACTATTATTCAATAGGGTAATTGGCACAGGACACCTTGTCCTTTCCATGTTTCGTGCAATCAATCATATCCTTTCGTTTAAGCGTGATACACCCTCAAATCAACCAAACATTGTGTAAAACAATCCTATCGCCCAATTCCACCATCAAAGCTTTGTAAATTGATGATTTACCCTTGTCTTTAATAAACAAAAAGAAAAGAAATAATTACAGTCAAAGTCACAATTTTTTTCAAAAAGTGCAAACAAGTTCCAATTAAAATAAATGAAAGATGAGAAGAATATTCAAAAAAAAAAAAAAAAAAAAAAATTTTTCTTCCCTCTCTTCTCTTCCTCCCACTTCCACTGCCACCTTTCAAGCCAAAAAATTTGGGCCAACCAAAAAAAAAAAAACTCTTTCTTCTCCCATCAACCCCATGTATATATACATGTCCAACAGAAGCAAGGAATACACCTGCCACCTTATGAAAGAAGTTGAACCTTTAGTCTTTCTTTAAGAGATTTTTCTCCCACACAAAAACTTTTGTCGAAGTCATGTGTTTTAACTTCATCACATACTAGAACTCCGGATTTGAAATCTTCTTGAATTGTATTGAAGGAATCTTGAATAGTGTTGATAAAAGCTTGTCGGCCATTTGTCATTTGTCAGCATCTTCTTTTTAAAATAATGATTTCCTTTTATAAAGTAGCTTTAATAAAGTTCATAAAAATGAAATTTCCTTTATTAAAGTTTGTCCATTATTTGATTGACAACAGTGCTAGCAGGAATAACTTTTGAGATGACAAATATAATTGAAAGAGAATATCTATTGAGCTACAAACTCAATATCTTCGATATTCTTCAAATAACTAGGTTCAAATAGTCATTTTGAATTTCTTTGAGTTTCTTGCGCTATCAGTTCATCAATATCTATCCTATAACAGTCATCTTCATTGCTTTGGGCATAATCTGTTTCTGAACTTGTTTGAGAAGAGCTATCTTAAAGTGATTTTGATTTCTTTAAAGTTGTTTCTGCCAAAGAAGCAATTTTCTCTGCAATAATTGCTAATTCTACGCTTGATTGTGGCTTTAAAAACTATTTTGCCCAAATATAAAACTATTTTCTTGCAGCTTTGAAAGCTACTCTTATGTGAAGTCCTTTTAATAGATAATAATTTCTATTAAAATCGTCTTCATTAGTTAAACTTCCATTCTCCAACCCCCAATTTCTGGTTGGATTGGCATAATTTGATTAGTAATGGTTTGACATGATCAATGAGCAGCTGCTTTATTATTAACATTTTGTTACTAGACACATACCCTCTTGAGCAGCCATTCTCTGGGCTTTTTGTCACTAAAGTGGAAATAATTTACAAATTTCTTCTTGTGATGGAAGTCTCTAGCTTATAGGTCTACTTGTCCATGCAGGCACGGGCATTTCTACTCATATCTGGACAAGCTATGCTGGCATTATCATGACTATATCTGTGATTCCTTTCATAGTTGTCCAAATACCACTAATTCTCCATTCATATTCAGGAAGACACTTGACTGTAGATTGCTCTTATTCTCTCTGTTTCACTTCTGATCTTTTACCAGGTATTATCACATTCTGGCATGTTGTTTTGCCTATGTCTTCATTGCATATCTTCATATTGTATTTTTCAGTTATCATTCAAATACACGGGAGAAGCTTCTTTGAGATTATTTGTGGAAAAAGCTTCTTTTGTTGGTGTACAATCTTCGTAGCCATGACCATACTATAATGTCATCCCTAAATATCGCATTTTGAAAAATTGGCAATTACTTCAAAGAAAATTGCTTTTTTGGCAAAAACAACTTCTAAGAAATCAAAATCAATTCAAGATAGTTCTTCTCAAATAGGTTCAAAAACAGGCTATGCACAAAACAATGAAAATGCTATGGGATAGATATTGATGAACTGAAAGCTCAAAAAACCCAAAAAACTTCAAAATGACTGTAAACTCATTTATTTAGAAGCATATCAAAGCTATTGGGTTCATAACTTAAAAGATATTCTTTTTCAATTATATCTGTCACCTCAAAAGTTATTCTTGCCAGCATTCCAGTCAATTAAGTAATGGACAAACTTTAATAAAGGAGATTCCATTTTTATCAACTTTACTAAAGCTACTTTACAAAAGGAAACCATTATTTCAAAAAGAAGATGCTAACAAGTGATAAATGGCCGACAAGCTTGTATCAATACTGTTCAAGATTCCTTCAATACAATCCAATAAGATTTCAAATCCAAAATTCTAGTATACGAGGAGATAAAGACTCAAGACTTCGATAAGAGTTTTTATGCGGGAGAAATATCTCTTAAAGAAAGTTTAGATTTCCTTGTAATCTAAAATTTCTAATATCCCCTGATTTTGTAGTCAAAACATTATGCCCCTCATTTTGCAACAACAAAGGAGAGAAATCCTCCCTAATATAGCAATTATAGGTGGGATTTTTCCCCCTGGTTTGCTTGTCAAAGGGAGAAATCCCCCATGATTTTGCAATTACAAGGGGACCTTGTAGCGATCCACTGATTATATAGCTACAGGGAGAGTTGGGGATTTCTCCTCGAAGTTCATTGACGGTGATGGTAGGTGGCATTGGAGGTTTTTTTTTTTTTTTTTTTTTTTTTTTTTTTTTTTTTTTTAAGATATTATTCAATTTCTTAAATTCTCATATTTGATATTTAAAAATCAACGAGTCCAAAACTTTATTTTCATGAGCAAATCAAAGACATTTTTTAATGCCTAAATTTGTGGTAATCCTATGAATCAACAAAAACTAAACGGTGATCATTTCACTACTCATTTGTTATCAAAGGAATTTCGAAAACGTGTCATTCATATTTATTTTTTAGCTTTCGCGCTACATTACCTAGTAAATATGAACAAGAGTGGGTGAGATGCTTGTCATTGATAGCTTATTGTATTTGTTTTCAACAGTGATGAATTATCACGCATGAATTAATTTGTTAGTCATAAACATGGACAAGATTTGGTGAGATATTCTCGTCATTGATATCTTGGTGGTAATTGTTCTAATGTTTTAGATGGCGGTTGTCGGTGCTCTCATGTGTGGGTCGTGGACGGAGTTGAAGCTATCAACGCTAGAGGTTTGGATGTGGGTTGGCTAGAGAACAAAATGAATTTTATTTACTCTTTCTTTTATATCTCTAATTGAGAGGAAAGGAGAGTAATGGTTGTGGTGGTGAAGGGGGTTGGGTGAGGGTAGGTAGTGTTGGCTGGAAAAGAAAGAGATTTTTTTAAATTTTTAATTTTTCTTTGCTTTTTTTTTTTTTAAAAAAAAAATTGTTTTAATAGGATCTCGTTTACTCCGTCTGAAAATTTGGGATCTTATGGCACTTATTTCTTTATTTTTTTCTTTTCTTTTGTTTATGTAAGAATGAAGATAAATTCATCATTTTACGAGGCTTTGATAAAGGAATTAGATGTCATGGTTGTTTCGCACAACATTTGGTTGATTTGAAAGTGTATTGCGCCAAAATGAAAGTTGAGTCAATTTGCATAAAACATGGAAAAGATAGGGGTGTTTTGGGCCAATTACCCTTATTCAATATATATTAATTGGAACAGAAAATTTTCAAAAAAGGGAAAACTGAAAAAGGAGTGGAAGAAAAAATAACTTGCCTCTTCTGGAACCTTTCTCGCATCTAACAAATCAGCCTTGTTCCCAGCAAGCGCCATAACCGTGTTAGAGTTTCCTAATTCCACAAGAAGAATAAAGAAATAAGAAAACTTCAAAACAAGCAAAAAAGATTTAAAATTAAAAACTAAAAAAAGTTTACAATGAATTTTTATTTTTGTTCTATTTCCTTCAGTAAATTAGCATAAATGCCAGAAGTTATCCATATTAACAGCTTCAGAAGGCTAACTAATAAAGCCAAATCCTCTTAAAATAAGCTCCAATTTAATAGAGATTTTTAAGGAATAGATTTTGTGAAAATTGATTCTTTTGGAGAATGTGTAGTTAAAAATGAGGGAAAAGTTATGGATTCACATGTAAAATTATTTTATTGAGAAAATGTATGGTTGATTGGGGGAAAAAAAGTTTTAGAAAACGAGGGCCAAACAGGGGCTAATTGACTTTAGTTATGCTGTAAAATAACAAAGAGTCAATCAGGAAACATCAAAATATCAGCCAGCAAAATCCAGAATATAAAGTACCCCCACCTCCCAACCTCAGTAAATTATAAAATAAAACCAATCAATAAAAATTCAAAAAGAAAAGAAAAGAAAAAGAAACCGAAGCCATTTTTGCCAATCAAAGGAAATGGAATTTACCTTGTGCTTGAAGCTCCCGAACCCATTTTTTGGCCTGCTCAAAGGATTCCTAGAAAGAAAAGAAATTAGTTACAACATACAACTCGGACTATATGATAAAATGTCATTCAGTCTCCCCTAACCTACTGTACCAAGACGAACAAAATAACGATGATGAGCGAAGACACAATCATAAAGTGGGCAATAAGCACTTACTTGGTTTGAGATATCATACACAATCACAGCCGCAGCAGCTCCCCGATAGTACATTGGAGCCAAGCTGTGATATCTCTCCTGACCAGCTGTATCCCATATTTCAAATTTTACATTTGTGTCATTCACAGCCACTGTTTGTGAGAAAAAGGCAGCGCCAATAGTTGATTCCTACATCATAAAAAGTAAAGTTCTACTTCCAGGGGCCAGAAGAAAATTTATTGCGGTGCGTGCACATGCGAAAAGTATAATTGTACAGGGTTTGGACCAACCTGAAATTCAATAAATTGCCCCTTTACAAATCGCAGGACTAGACTGGATTTTCCAGCTCCAGAATCTCCAAGAAGCACCTAGGTAAAAGTAAATCTCACAAAAGTTATCAACATTAAAAATGAAGGCGAGAAACGAGAGATGAACGATAAAGGCAAATCTTGGTACTCAAACCTCTGAAAGAATAGATAGTGCGATGTTACTGCTAAAGTATGAACAGCAGGAGGGCAATTAAATAAATCATCATTTACTTACCAAAAAGGCCATAGTATCCAAATCTAATCACTTCACAGTATTTTTCTCAATGGTTTCTCAAAGAGAGACAGAGAGAGTAAGGTATAACCTAATCTATGAGCATCATAATTTAAGACTCAATTTTCTTTGGGCAGCACAAAAACGACAGAAGCAGCAAGCACATTCATGATAATATTATATTACATATAGAACTACTTCATCACCAAGACACATATGGTATTATTTAAAAAAAATACACACTTCGTCCTCAGACTAACTTGGTCTGATTTTCACCATGAAATGGATACTTTCTCTCTGAATAATTTCAAGCACTAGTAATTGATGTAATTTTTGTTGCATAAAACTTCATTCTCAAACTAAGTTAATATGCCCCAGTTTGGTTTAGATTTTTAGTAGATTTTGATAAAAGTTGATGTAATATCAACCGCAATAATCTCTATCTAGTAATATCCATTATAACGTTATACTAAATACTTTATCTGGCATAATATAAGTGTCAAACTTTATTGTTCCTTGGGTGTAAAACAAACCTACTTAGTTTAAGAGAAATCTTTACCGGCCATGGTCATTGGTTTTGTTCTAGTATAATGGTTGAATCGACAATTTAAAGGTCTTTTTTCTCTCTCCTCCTTCTCCATCTTATAAGTAAGCTTGTAAGCCCAAATGACATCCCAACCACCTCACCAAAAATAAAAATAAATAAATAAATAAATAAATAATCATGTTTTCAAGCTTATAATCAAAAGAATTATTTACACAATTGCAATTACTCAAATTAAAGTTAAAATAGGAATAATTCAATTAAACGAACAGATACCAATAAGCACAGCTCAAACGACATGGATCACCAGGAATTTGAAAAATTGAGGCTGAACGAAAGTTAATAGAGCAGCGAACGCAATTTTACACCCAAAATTATAGAAACAAAATTGAGGTACAAAAATATCAGAATATTCTGGGGAATAACACGTCAAAATTAAAAAATTAAGACCGAGCCAAATCAACAATCACGATAAAGAAACGTAAATGATTATATAGGGAAAAAAAAGTGATTAAAGAAAGTTCAAACCAGCTTGGAGTTGATGTTCTTGTTTCCGCTGGAGGCCATGGGTTCTTAATTCAATAAAATTCAAATACAAATCAACAGATAAAGATTGTTTTTAGGGTATCATATGAGAGAATTAGAGAATTACGAGGGAATAATTCTCGAGGAAGTCTCTTTATTTACTTACGCGTGAATGGAAAAGGAAAGTTCCCTCAAATTTTCTTGCTCGAGCTCTCAAGACTTTGGGATTGGGCCAAAGTTGGCGTGTTTTGTACTTCATTTGAGGGCCCAGCACTATCGACACGGTGGAGCCATCGAAGGCTCAAACGCCAAGGCCCAAATTGAAATAATACATATTGTTTTACCTATGCATTATACTTCCTATATCCTACCTTCACTTTAAAGAGTAGATAGAGTTGTACTGTTCATTTGTGTCCCCTCATTTTTTCTACATTCACTTAAAAGAGTGGATGGAGTTGCACTAGTCATTTGTGTCCCCTCGTCTTCATACTAAAATTGGACATTTACTATTTACCAACTAGTTCCATACAGTTCACAAATATTTCTCTGATAAAAGAACGTAGAGAGAAAAATGGGTCGTTTCTACCACTCTCTCAATCCCTAATAGAAATTGGGCAAACCTCTATTCCACCTCGCCTCCGTCGCTTGCCACCACCTGAACTGTGCTTTTCAACTAATTTTTCGCCATGTCCAAAGGCAGCAAATTGGATCATCGAATTGAAGATACCGACTTAGAGAGATTAACTAAGGAGTTCAAGGAAGCAATGCTCGTGATCTTTCCTAGCTATGTCTCGATTAGGATGAAGGTATTGTAACCATTTTGTTTCTTTTTCAAAGTCAAAGATGGTGACATTGGTTTCCTTCAATTTTTTGTCTTATTTTTCCCTTCAATTTGTAAAAGGTTTCTAGTATTTGTTTAATTTATGTTTTTTTACTGTTTTTACAGTTAAAACTAAATTTATTGAAGATGTTTCAACCTTGTGGGACAGATAGGATTATTCATAAGATCCAGGCAATTTAATTCGAGCCCAACCCAGTCATTTCGTGCTACTTCAGTGCTTCATGAATTCCATATTTATGAAGTTCTTCTTGCTTTTATATGTGATGTTACCAAAAGCCATACATGTAGAATTTCAAGCTTGGTGACTTACACTGAGTGCAAACAAGATCTTCCAGTACTTGAAACAAATGCGCCGATGTGTGTCCTAGTCACCCCTTCAATGCTTAAGTCAAAGAGAGAATTTATACGTGGCTTGTAAACTGAAAAATAATGAGAAAACGTACCTCAACAATGAACATTGGTCATGCATTTATAGATTTGGTGATAGAGTTGTAAAAGGATTCAACCACCTGTAATCCTTTTCCTTATCATGCAATGAATTTGTGTTATATTGAAAGTTTTCTGTTTGAGCTCGAGTCGAACCCAGATAGGTAAATAATGAGGATAAGGGTCATGGAAAATTATAGTCAAAGTGGATTAATGTCTTCTAAAAGGTATGAAAGAAGAATTACGCTGCACGACACGTGGCCTGATCTGGATAGGCCGGACCTTATCATGGAAGGCCGACCAACAATGGAGGGTTTGGGGAATGGTGGGATCGGGCCACCAAGTTTGAGATTGAGAGATCTTTAGTTTTATGAACATCACAGACCCCGTGCGTCTATATTGCAGCTAGTTGTTGCATGACCAAGCTGCAAGATGAGATGTAATAAGGTGCAATAGCTTGGGTCAAATTCTATTGGTTACAGGTTAAACAAATGCATTTCTCTGACAAGCGTTGGGTAGGCAGCACCCGATCTCAGATGGTGCTACGTGTCATGATTCAAGAGCGAGATTGGAAAACCTTTGACCTTTCAGAGACCCCCATAAATACGGTAGTTTTTACTCTCAACTTTCGGTAGAAGAAGTTCAAGTTTGGGGATAATGGGTTTGTGAGTGACCATCCAAAGAGGTAAGAGTTCATGTTTTTAGTAGCAAGAGGTTGAGCGACAATAGTAGACATCCCTCTAAGAGCTCAACCACTAGTAGCCCCTAAGGCTTAGACATCACTTATCCCAATGGCCATTCCTATTAGCTCATACCCTGAGAATGAGGTCATTCTGACCTTTCCTAATGAACCCACTAAGTACAAAGAACACATAATTATTAAGATGGCCAGGGAGTTTGGGGTCATGCTTTTGTGTGATGTAGGGTCCTCGAGCCCACTGAGATCGTATTAGATGCTCGTGAGAGTGAGATGACCTTTTTTAAGGATGCCCTTAAGGTCATTCTTAGGTGGCCTCTCTACCCATTCTTCATCCATTTCTTGACCTCCTACTTTATTTGCCTCGGCCAATTGGCCCTTAATGAATGGAGGCTAGTAAATACTTTTTCATCTTATGTAGGTGCCACGGGGTTATGCCTAGACTCTGAGGATTTTTTTGACATGAAATTCTCTTCAGGGTATAACTGTTTTGTCTATCTACTTACCAATGGGGGTTTAGGACACCTGAAACCTCAAGCTCACTTAAGGGTTGGAAATAATGTTTCTTCTTTATAAAATCTCAGGACCTCGACTAGCCCTTTAGCCTGAGTTGGAATGTCCCCAATAAGGATAGATTCAATGAGGGTCGACGTATTTTGAGGTTTTAAAAAGGGATAGGCTGGAGCTAGTAAACTAGGATCCCTTTGTAGCAAAAATTGATTATCTACTCGAGGATGACACCCTTGACCTTGCCAATGTGAAAGGCCTCGAAGGTATGATCTTTATCTCGTGTAATTTTTCACACCAACCCGTACTTAAGATCGAGTTAATGCCTTTGCTTTTTATTTGTTTTACAGAATTAGAAATGTCTTTCGATCCATTGAAGCTCCTTGGAATGTCCTTCACAAATCCAAAGGCTCGAGGCCTGAGGCCCTCGCTCGGTTGAAGGGAAAGAAGAGGGTAAAAGATGCTGCACCAAGGTCTATCCCAAGTATCCTTCACAAATCCAAAGGCTCGAGGCCTGAGGCCCTCGCTCGGTTGAAGGGAAAGAAGAGGGTAAAAGATGCTGCACCAAGGTCTATCCCAAGTATCCTTCACAAATCCAAAGGCTCGAGGCCTGAGGCCCTCGCTCGGTTGAAGGGAAAGAAGAGGGTAAAAGATGCTGCACCAAGGTCTATCCCAAGTATCCTTCACAAATCCAAAGGCTCGAGGCCTGAGGCCCTCGCTCGGTTGAAGGGAAAGAAGAGGGTAAAAGATGCTGCACCAAGGTCTATCCCAAGTATCCTTCACAAATCCAAAGGCTCGAGGCCTGAGGCCCTCGCTCGGTTGAAGGGAAAGAAGAGGGTAAAAGATGCTGCACCAAGGTCTATCCCAAGTATCCTTCACAAATCCAAAGGCTCGAGGCCTGAGGCCCTCGCTCGGTTGAAGGGAAAGAAGAGGGTAAAAGATGCTGCACCAAGGTCTATCCCAAGTATCCTTCACAAATCCAAAGGCTCGAGGCCTGAGGCCCTCGCTCGGTTGAAGGGAAAGAAGAGGGTAAAAGATGCTGCACCAAGGTCTATCCCAAGTATCCTTCACAAATCCAAAGGCTCGAGGCCTGAGGCCCTCGCTCGGTTGAAGGGAAAGAAGAGGGTAAAAGATGCTGCACCAAGGTCTATCCCAAGTATCCTTCACAAATCCAAAGGCTCGAGGCCTGAGGCCCTCGCTCGGTTGAAGGGAAAGAAGAGGGTAAAAGATGCTGCACCAAGGTCTATCCCAAGTATCCTTCACAAATCCAAAGGCTCGAGGCCTGAGGCCCTCGCTCGGTTGAAGGGAAAGAAGAGGGTAAAAGATGCTGCACCAAGGTCTATCCCAAGTATGGCGGGACATATCACGAGGACAAAAAGCCTAATCCCTCCATAGCTTGAATGAAGAGTATGCAGAATGTTCACTCGTTCATCGTGAACAAATATAAGGAGGTCGATCCTCATGAAGAGGGTTAAGTCCCTTGAGATTCTAAACTTAAAGGTACGATCTCGCTCTCTACCATCCTTTCCCCTTTTTTGTTCAATCTTTTATGATCAATCTAATGTTGAGCTTATTTTCCTTTTTTCAGACCTTGAGTGTTGCTCACATCCTGACCCTAAATGATTTAAATACCTCGAGCAACCTAGACAAGCTTGAGGTAGAGAACAAGCAGAATAAGAAACAGGTTCTCGAGCTCATGGGTGATTGTGACTTGGGCTAAAGTTAAGGCCAAAAAGGCCCGAAATCAGATTGGGGCACGACGGAAAAGGCCAAAAAGCCAAGCTAGAGCTCGTACATGCTAAGAAGGTCTTCGAGGATAAGCTGGCCCAAGCTTGAGCTCAAGCTGAAGTGATTGAAGACTTCAAGAAGTCCTAAAAGTTCGGGACACTTTTGGAACAGTATCGGTCAAGCTCCTATCACTATGGCCTAAGGCTTGCTCGCTCATTTCTACGGACCAAGCTTCTTGAAGACTTAACGCCCGTGGTCGATGAGCTAGCATATAAGCTCGAGCTGCAAGCTTTAGAGGTCGATGAGGATGGGGATGATGCTGGGTCTTTTGACTAGGGCAATCCTGCTAATGCAACGGCTTTAGGTTAGTCCCCGTCCCCGAACCCTTTAAATTTGTTGAAAATGTAAATGTAAATAAGTATATTGCCTAACCTGGACCTTGTTTTGCAAAATGCTAGTTGATAGTTTGATGCTTTGTTAATATAGTTTGTTACTCGTTTCATTTTGTACACACACATCGAGCTTAAGTTATATATATAGATGTAGATTGAGCATGTTACTTTGTCATTATTTCTTGACATGTAGTTCGAGTTCCACATATTTTTAAAGGTGAAGCTCGAGCCTTAGTCATTATTTTTGACATATGCTTGAGCTGTAAATTTTGTAAATCTCAATAAGTAGAGCTCGAGCATCCTAATTTGTCACCATTTTGGAGAAATAGCTCGAACCTTGTACAACAAGTAAACTTTGAACGATGTAGCTCGAGCATGTCACTTTGTTATTATTTTCAATAAGTAGCTCGGCCTTTGTAAGACTATACTTTAAATGGTATAGCTCGAGCATGTCACCTTGACATTATTTCCAACAAGTTGTTCAAGCTTTAGTAAAAGCATCAATATTTTTAAGTTTTAATAGGATCGGCTCAGGCTGCTTGGGCTGACGTAGAACTATTCGAACTGGAACTTCAACTTCGTATGACTCCATATTGTGAGTGATTAAGGTCGTGCCATAAGTCGATGTATTAGTTG